ATATATATATATATTATATATATTTTAATATATAAATATAAAAGTATATATATATAAATATATATAAATATTAAAAATATATAATATATATATATATATATATATTTATATATATATATATATAAAAATATATATATATAAAAAATACAAGAAGTCCCGGGTTCCCCAGGGGAAATTTTAAATACAGGGGCCAAAGCCGTCGTTCACGAGGCATCTGCCGGGTATGCAAGGGAAAAGCGTACTCAATCCCTTATTTGGCAAATTTTGTGCTCCCCAATGGAAAGTCTAGTCTCCAGGGGAGCCCAAATGGAAAACCCAACAGCTCCTCCCCCCGCAGTCAGCGTTTACAGCTACCGTATTCCAAACCCTACAGGGGAAACCCCAAATTTTGGGAAACAATTGACATCCACCAGGAACCCCTGACACACATCCCCAAAGCCCGCTCCCCTCAAGCCCCAACAAATTCCCCGACCTTCTTAAGAAAAACAACATCCCTTCAAACAACGATCCCCGGCAAAACTTTCTGCGTTTGGGGGAATGCCTGTTTGGCTCCCCCACCAAGGAGGGACAAGTCACTAGGCAACACAGTTTTTTAGGGGGAATAAATGCAAAATCCGGGGATACAAAAACCCCGTTTCCCTCCCCCCCCTAAGGGGACAAACACCCCCAAAGGGAAATGCCAACAACGGGGAAAACCCAAAACCCCAAAAAAAACAAGCCCAAATCACAAAAAATAGAAGACTTAAAACCAGTGAGGGGTACCATCCCTCCTAAGGACAAAAAGTACGGCAAAAAAGACCTTTAAGGGGCAAAAAATTTCCCCCCAGGGCTCCCCGTAAACCCAACCCCGACCTCCCCGACCTTTTCAGCAGGCGAAGAAAATCTAACCTTTCAGGATTTCTTTATTGTTTAAAGCACTAAAGTCCCTTTTTCCCCCAGGGCTCACAGAAAATTTCACCGTTTAAGGCCTCAAAACTTAAAACAAATACTCATTTTCCCGCATTGGTGAAGTTTTTAAGAGGGTGCTGCTGAACTCACCAAATTTTCCAACCCCTTTCCTGGGGTGGCATGTCCCCCGAGGCCATTTGAAACCCCTTTTCTTTTGGGGCCCCTCATTGTGTGGGCCCCCCAAAAAAAGGAAAGGAAGAAAACACCCATTGCAGTGGGGAAAAACCCTTCGGCGCATGGTCAAACCCAAGGGGTGCAGTAAGAAGGGGGAGCCCAAAAGGCCCGTGCCTTTTCTGAAAAACCCAACCCCAGCTCCGGTTTTTGGGGGTTTTAACAAAGCTGTGAAGCAGCTTTCCCATGCCGCACGAGTAAAAATTTTAACAACATGTTCCCCGTGAAAAAAACTTTATCAAAATTTACTTTGCCCAAAGCTTTTAACTCAGTCCCGAAGGGATTTCGCCTCTAACATTTATAGAAAATTCCCTTCCCTCAATCCCTTTATAGAATCGGGGTTATAGTGTGACTTTTCCCAAAATATTGTTTTTGGGGGGGCCCCTGAAATTGACTATTTCGAGAGGGGGTGCAACAGGATACCCCCCTTGGGCCCCCTTTTAAATTTTGTTTTGGGCATCAAAAGGGAAATCACAGAAACCCCCTTTTCCCCCCCCAAAAATTGGAAAAAAACTCAAATCTGGTTTTTTTATGATGGTACCCTAGCTGGTACAACAGAATCTCTCCAAGAGGACATCAGAAAAATTAAAGACATGGGAAAAGGGCCTGGCCTTCTTTAAACCCCCCCAAAATGTGAAACAGTTTTACCAATCGACAGACGACCCAGAATATTAGTGCTGTTTACCCAGGAGAAACAAAGCCATTGATCCAGAAATAGAAAAATTTGGTGGAAATACGAAAAGTGCACATTTATTAGAATAATAAAATTTTGAAGAGTTCCAGTGGTGCAGAATATATATATATATATAACAGAACTTACTACCAGTCGTCTTCAAGTACGAAAACAGTGTATCATTAGGACGGGTGTTACAAAAAATCTTGAAAAATTTAAATATTGTGACATATAAAGCTAAAATCTCAGGTTGTAAAAGAGGTCCCGAGGTCGCCATTTACCTCAAAAACCATAGACCATTTGGTCACTGTTCACCAACACACAAGTCAAATTTACATTTAGCTGTACACTTTCTAAAACATTTCCATAAGAAACTGGTGGGGGCACTAATGTTAGTATAGGTGCTGTAGATAGTGAGGAGTCAGAAAAAATGCACCAGTATGGGATGCAGCACAAAGAATCCTCGCAAACAGAAACCAGATCAATGTAAATTCTATGCCTGGGGTATCTGCAGGCATGGAATATTTGTACAGATGTTCCACAGGTAGGATGTGAAAAACTTTGACCTCCCAAAAAATCAGCACTTCACATGAAATGTAGACCTACTCTGCCTGCTAGATTCATATCCCGCGGCACTACGGTGCTACCCTTTCTAGGCCTGCCCAGGTCAGTGAGGCACGGAGTCTACCTGCTCTCTCTTCACAGCCTACCCACGCGGGTTCAACAACCTCCCCTTCCACAGACTAGCTATTGGTCATTCCCTCACTTTGCCCGTTGTGTACTCCTCTTCAAGTAAAGTCAAACTAGTCTTCGGCTGTATCTTCGCAACTTATGCTACCCCTCGGCACTAAGCTTCTGTTCAACCCCAAGAACAGCAATAACAACAACAGGAGAATAAGAACATAAATGGGATGGCACTCTATGTCCGTGATCGTTTGTGGGGTGGCACTCTATGTCTGTGATCGTTTTAAATTGTTGAATAAAAACGAGTATAAAGTCTGAAACACATACTGAGTCTGTTGAGAAGAATTTTCAGAGGAGCATGAAAAATTTATTTTAGGCTTGATATACCATCCCCCACACTTGGATAGAGACCGAGGAAGACTACTCTGGGAGGAAATTGTTAAGGCCACAAGGCACGATAACATTGTAATTCTAGGGGACTTTAACTTTATTAATACTGATTGGAATTTTCTGACCCTCGAAGCAATAAACTAGGTGAAGTAGAGCTTGATCATACAGAATGTGAAAAAAAACTTAGGAGTCATGGTAAGCAGAAACCTAAAGCCAAGAACAGCAGTGCCTAAGTGTGCACAACAAGGCTAACGATAACTTGGATTTATCTCAAGAAGTATAAGTAAAAGAGGTCCAGAAGGTCTTGCCCAGAAAAAGGGAGAACATCGATGAATTGCAGACAATCTTGGCAAAAAACAGGGGGGAGAATTAAAAAACAGATCTTGACCTATGTGTTTGGAAGAAGGGATGAGCCCTTCCCACTAGTGTGGTTGACCCCACCGAGGATAAGGACTAACATGGGCCCCGAGAGACCCACCCCCCCAGGGACCCACCCTTCCCAATGAAGAATTTCACAAGAATCACAATAAGTTGGTGGACGTGCTGGACAAATGGAACCAGATACAGCATAAATGATTATTTGACAGCTCTGAAGAGCATTTTTATATGGCAGACCTTGTGCTAAAAAGCGAAGCATCCAGAGCATGTTGGCCACTAGGACTGGTGGTATCGATATACCAAGATAAGGCCGGACGACTGAGTATGGTAAAGATAAATGGTGTAGAGACCATAAGGACCATCAACAAGCTCTTCTCTCTCGAAGTCCATTTAGCAGAGACTGGACAGTCAACGTTAGACCAGAGTCCCTCAACCAGGGTGGTCGGACGGGTCGTCGGATGGCAACTGGCATCCAGGGCTAACTGGGAGGACTTGTGGTAGGCCGACTTGATCTAGACTCAGTGTCTACCTTCGCTGCCGAATGTGGAAATTTACTGACACCAAAAAATTCCACTATTGGGTTTGTACGTAAATAATTTGAACCTGAAATCCCAGTAACCTTTAACACATCCTTCCACCTGATAACAACATAGGGTAGCTGGTAAGAGTAATATACTAACTGATAGGTGTAGGCCTTAAGAACGACTTAAGTAGGTTTAAATAATTAGCAAATAATATTAAAATTAATAATGTAGTCTTAGACGTTAATATTAGGAAATGAGATAAGAGATATAATGGTAACTAGCAACAGGCTTCCTTCTGGTCCTAGCTGTCGAGTGGCGAGTAGTATCAGTTGAAGTGTACCAGGTGGCTCACAAAATATTCTGTCTCGCAGCCAACGATTTTTCGGAAGCTTCACGACTACCCCGGACAAGACTCTGTGCCAGATACGTTTGTGACACTTATTCATGTAATTTTTCCCATGTTAGATGGCCACTGATTACTGTATGAAAGACGAGAATAGCTTGCGGTTAGGTGTAGCACACGCCCAGCACTGATGTAGGTTAGATTTCTGAATAACCAACCTGTGAATATCAGACCGCAAGCTAGTAGCTCCTCACACATAAATATTAGTTAGGGAAACTTCCAAAGATTTCACAGACCCCTAAAGTGTTGTAGGAGTTGCTAATAATATTTAACTACTTGCAAGAACCCTTCCTTCTGTGTCCATGGCGTATTGAAGTGAGAGAGATATAGATATCTAGATAGCCTGGGTAGAATCAGGGTTCTAGCTATTATAGGCTCCACAAACCAAGCAAGTCTATTCTAGTTTGTGCACAGAGCCAGGAATTTCCTGTATCATAGGTGATTCTTAAAGAAAAGTGTACCATAGGGGTTACTTATGTGAACGGGACTCGAGGAGTCTTGTGTTACCTCTGTCAGCAGTGGTTGCCAGAGTAGGGCATCTCACACGTTTATCTCTATACTTACATGCTGACTTTTCTAAATAGGCTTCTCTTTTTTTTAATCCAGCCATTCAATAAATAATCCCTTCAAATTTCAAGCTCAACTTAAACTGGAGAAATGTGTATAAACTATAACAGCCTTGAATATCCATAATAGGCTTTTAAATATCTTCTCATTTATACATTACACTTTTTTTTGGTAATATTGTAACTTAAAATCAATGGAAAATGTGGACGTTCGATGTCATATGTTTTCAATGAAAAAATAAATAAATACATAAAATGCTTACCTTAAATTCTGCAGATTTTTGTCTCAACTCAGGGATTATTTCCACACCGTAAGCATTTTTTTCAGAGTCAAATCCCAAGGGATGATTCTTGAAGACCTTACTATAGGTCTTTGTCATCTGCAGAAATATATCCCTGCCATAAAAAAAATATATATATATATATATATACTTGCATGTACTATACAAAAGAAATTTCAGACCAGTAAAATTGATAAAACGAAATTAGGTCATAAAAATGGCAGCTAGAAAAGAATGTTGGTTTGTCATCAGATGTTCAAGATAAAACAACACCACATGAAAAAGATATACATTTTTCAGTATATTAGACAGGTATAATTTATCGCCATAGTTGTTTAATCCTTAAACCAACAGCAGTGTAGAAATATTTCCTAGTGAATAACCAGTCATTATATATATACAGTTGATCCTCTTAACACAGTAGTTACATTCCTGAAAATGACAAGCAAATTAATTGTGTGAAATAAACTAAAGAACGTATGTTCATCAGACACCCCCCACGCCACCCCCCCTCAAAAAAAAAATGCCAAAAAATTTTTTTAGATTTTTTCGTAATATTAAGAGTTCAAATAATTTTAGATGGATGCATTAAGGGAACATATTTAAAATATACTCTCAACAGAAAATGATACATAAATTAACTATTCCCTATTAACTCGCACACCGAAACTGACAATGCTAACCAAATATTGAACCTAATTCTAGGAAATTTCAAATTACTCAAAAAGACTAAAATTTTGAAAATTTCACTAATAAACTACTGTAATCAATGGTAAACATGAATTGGCCAATAAAACCTAAATTTTCCCAATCGTATTAGAAACTCGTATATTTGCTATATATGATGTCTCACTAAATTCAACCAATTCTTAATTTAAAACTGAACCAGAAACCAATGAACTCTCTCTCTCTCTCTCTCTCCATTAATCATGTTCTCTATCCTTTTAGTATTCTAGTTTCCCACAATTTGAACTAACCATTACACAAAAATTAATGTTTCTGATTAAACAGTGGTAATAAAACTATGACCAATCATTTTACTGAGCCCTCAGTGGATGGTTGTTAGCTTACTGGCCGAGGGGGACGGCCGAGGGGGACGGCCGAGGTGTTTGAACTGATGTCGATGCAGACTTCGCATTAAATGATGATTGTGAAGAATTACACACAAGTGCAACATCTGGGTATCTTTATTAATAGACGTTTCGCCCTCCAGGGATTTATCCCGGGACAATACAAAGACATAAGTGAAGAATAAAAACTATATACAGCAGATGAGGTTATCAGTCCCTCAGCCTTGAAGTTGGTGAAGAGCACCGTACTCTTGAAGAATCTGAAGTACAGGCAGTAAGACTGTTGTCGCTTATATACTGGCGGTAAGGCGGGAAATGCAGAAGACGAAGGCAATGTCATGGTAGGTGGGATTGCCCAGTGAAGTAGGTCATACCCGAGGGATGGGCCAGGAGTAAACAAGTAGGTTGTGACGATGTTCTCTTTACCAATTCCAATTCAGCAAAGCAATAGCTAAGAACTATAGACAAATAGCTTTAATGTCCCACATCATAAAAATCTTTTAAAGAATTCTAAAAGTGAGGATTGCAAACCACTTGGGGTCCCAACAATTGCACAATCCAGGGCAACATGGGTTCAGAGCAGGTCGCTCCTGCTTCTCGCAACTACTGGACCACTATGGTATGGTCCCTTTGGATGCACTGAAAACAAACAGAATGCAGATGTAAAATACACAGATTTTTTTAAAAGCCTTTGACAAGTTCGATCATTATGTAATAGCACACAAAATGCATGCTAATGGGATGACTGTCAAAGTGGGTAGATGGATCTTCAACTTTCTAACCAATCGAACACAAAGAATATCGGTTAACAGAATTAAATCGGAAGCTGCCATAGTGAAGATCCTGTTCCATAAGGCACAGTACTCGCCCCCTATCCTGTTCCTCATCCTCATATCAATATAGACAGAGATGTAAGCCATGCACAGTATCATCCTTTGCAGACGACACTAGGATCTGCATGAGTGTGTCATCCACTGAGGACATGCAAATCTCCAAGAAGATATAAACCAAGTTTTTAAGGGCAGTAAAAACTGGAGGAAAAAGCTAGAACTGAGTATACTACAAACTCTAATCGCACAATTGAGCAAAAAAGTAATGTGAAGGACCTAGGAGTGGTAATATCTGAGGATCTCACCTTCAAGGATCACAACAGTGTCGCTATCACATCTGCGAGGAAACTGATAGGAAAGGATAATAGAACATTCAAGACAGGGGATGCCAAGCCAATGATGATCCTTTTTAAGTCACTTGTTCTCTCTAGGCTGTAATACCCGCCATAACATTAACATCTCCGTTCAAAGCAGGTGAAATTGCAGATCTCGAGGATGTACAGAGAACCTTTACTGCACATGTAAGATCCATCAAGCACCTTAACCTATTGGGAAATACTTGGAAGCACTTGACTTGTACTCACTGGAGTGCAGGTGAGAGAGATACATTATAATCTACACCTGGAAAAATCATAGAAAGACTGGCCACTAATCTGCACACAGAAATCACTCCCTATGAAAGCAATAGACTCGGCAGGCGATGCAGCATACTCCCAATAAAAAGTAAGGGCGCCATTATGCACTAAGAGAAAACGCAATAAGTTTCCGGGGCCAAGACTGTTCGACAGCCTCCCACCAGCCATAAGGGAAATAACCAATAGACCCCTGGTTGTCTTCAAGAGGAGCTAAACAGATACCTAAATGTAAGTTCCGGATCAGCCGGGCTGTGGTTCTTACGTTGGACTATGTGCGGCCAGCAGTAACAGCCTAGTTGATCAGGCCCTGATCCACCGGGAGGCCTGGTCATGGACCGGGCCACGGGACGTTGATCCCTGGAATACCTTGCAGGTAGATGTCCTTGTGAAACCACTGGATGGCGAAACATCTACAAATAAAGATACCCAGGTGTTGCGTTTGTATCTAAATCTTGATCTTACTGAGGAAATGTATCCTTGAATTCATCTCAAGTCTGTTTTACTCTGCAGTACTTTATACAGCTGAGAGTAAGACCAACTCCCACTTCAGAGCATTGATAAATACATAAAATCGATTTAAAAAATATATTAAATATTTAAGATACTAGGAAGCTAATATTTGATTAAAATAAACCATCTACTGTACTCTTTCCAGAGATAAGAGGCTGGGCATTCCTTCCGGAGAAAACATGTGTGGCTAATATGTCAGTAATGACTATCCTACAACAGCCCTTTCAGTTTAAAATATGATTATTCTTCTGAGCACCAACAGCATCACTCATATTCATTATGGGTGCCATACTTACTATCCAGACGAGATAAGCAGATGAAAAGATAAGGAAATATATTAAGGATGGGACACATGCACGAGGACCTGGCAGTGTGAGAGGTCTCAGTGTACTAAGATTTGAAAGTAGGTTTACCTCAGAAAAATAATGGTTGACCACAAGGCTGAGCGAAAAGATTCTGCAGCATGACAAATTATCTCCTAAATTTAACTGTGTTGAATGAAGGTTATGGCATGATTAAAAAAATTATGCTGCGAATTTTCAACGGGGTTTTGTAAAAAATTGTGTAGAAAGATGGCAAATAAAACGAATTCTCAAAAAATCATAAAATTTCACAGATTCACAAAAATAATTGTGCTTTGAAATTTCCTGTAATTGATCATTTAAAGTCTTAATGCAAATTTCTTCTGTGGGACCAAAATCCCTCCCAAAAATCCTGGACTGAAAAAGTACCGCTCTACCAATGTTTAACTGAATAGTACAGCCTTAAAAAACTTAAAAAAAAAAAAAAAAAAAAAAAAAAAAAAAAAAAAAAAAAAAAAAAACAACAAAGCAACTTTTAGTGGTGGGATGTTTTACATGGGGTAGGACTGCTGGCGTCTTTTCTTTCTGTCTCATAAATATGAAAGATAACAGGTATTGTACACCTTGCTACTTATATTTACACTTAGTTCATACTACATATGCAAGTACACATATGTGTATTACACACCCATCTGAGTTTTCCTCTGTTTTCTTAACAGTTTCTTGTTTTTATACTATATCATTCATCTACATGGAAAAGTAGAATAAATTCTTCCTCCGAAAGTCATAAAAGATGACTAAAATGCCAGGAACAAGAGGCTAGTAAAAACTTTCTCCTGAGCAAATTACTAAATTTAGAAAATAACATTTAAATTGGGATGTTTCAATGCACGTGAATGTAGTACAAAAGATCAGAAAAAGTGAATTGTGAATGTTATGAATGAAGGGAAGCTGGATGTTGTAGCTCTAAGTATAACAAAGTTTGTAAGTGAGTCAAATAAGTGGGATTGGGTCGGTGTATCTGAGAAAATTAGAGTAATATTAAATGATTATAATTATTTATATAATGAAAAGAGGGGAATAAAAATTAAAATTTCAAAGTTTATTGGATTAAAATAAAGGGGATGTACAAAGTGGGGAATTAGTGTTTTTCCCCCGGGGGAGGAAAGGAGAGCGAAATTTTGAGAGAGTTAAGAATGTTTAGAGATTCTTAAAACCAAGTGAAACGTAATTGTTGTGGGGACGTCAGTAAAAAAAAGGGAAAACTGTTTAGAGAACATTTAAAAAATTTTTGGGGTCCCAAAAGGTAAATGAAAAAACGGGCAACCCGAAATTGGGTAAAACGAAAATTTTTAGTAATAGGTATTGTGTATTTTAAAAGAAAAATAGGATAAATAGACCGTAGAGGAAGAGGTAGTTTATAAGAAAAGTGTACAAGAAGAGGGTTTGTGAGAGTTCGATAATAAGGGAACAAAGAAATAAAAAAAAGATTAAAGAATGTACTGTTAGATTTTGGTAGCGAATTTGTGGATATAAGCGTGGGGGGGGGAAGGAAAGAAGCATTTTAAAGTGAAGGGGTAGAGAGAGAAAGGTAAGGGAGAAAAAGTTGCATAAGAGTTTTTACAAGCAGAAGATACAAGGACAGGGGAGTAAAAGAATTAAGATGTTTTCCTTTATCATTTTTCACCTTTTGGGTGCTATACTAAGATTGCACTTGATGGGTTTCGAAGTGTTGCGATTTTCCTTCTTTAACTCTTTCAAAGATTTT